CAGAGCAAGTTCATTGGATAAACATTATTACCTTCAATTTACAGATGAAGGAATTGAGGCCCAGAGAGATAAATAACTTGTCTGAAGTGGTGTGGTTAGTAAAAGGCAATGTTAGGATTCAAATGAATCCAAGAGGACTGTGTTCTTAGGAGTTGGGTATTGAGGCAGGCTGAAGGCAAAGGTACAGAGCTCTCAAAGGCGCAGCAGTTTCCCAGTAGATTTTTAACAAATGCAGGTCATTATTTTGTTGCCGGAATGAGTTACTCTGTGTGCCCTGTGAGTGCGCAAATGCACAGGTCTTGAACGAATGGGGTGGGAGAAGGTTGAGTCAAGCGTCCTTAAGAGAGACCAGGAATCTGAGTGGAGAGAGGACACCCATGTCTATTATCTGTTTTCTAAACCCACTGTTGTCATTAACCTGGTTGGTTACCTTATTCAAACCTGGGGACTCAAATTGTATATTTTTGAAGAGCTAGTGTTGTTCACTTTCCAAGGGGAATTGTAACATTTGGCCGTGTCACCATCACTAAATGTTACAGCTGGGAGGAAAGCACCTAAGAGGTCATGATCCAACCGGATCATTGATGACGTGAGACCCAGAGAGCTTAGATCACTCATCGTGGCCACACAGCTAGAGGCAGGCTGAGATTTAGAACACAGGTTCCTTCACTCCCAAGCGTTTTTCACCCCATCGCATCTCGGAGTTTTGTAAAAGAACAGCGGTGGTGTTTACAGTTGTAAGGGGGGGGGGGGGTGGGGAATCTCCCACATGCCAGTCTCCAGACTAGACTGTTCAGAAACTCAGCTGTTTCACAGACACCTCTGTTTCACTGCAGTCTTTATTCAGGAGAGATTCACGTTACCAACCACTCTGTTTCAACCTGTTTCACAATTATTTTTGACCCTGTGTCATTTCCCTCCTGGAGCTTCTTGAGGTCAGGCCTAACCTACTCCATCCCTGTACTAATCCTTGGAGGGCAGCTTTAGGATCTGTTCAAGTTTTATCCTGAATCTGGGCAGCATGAATCCTCGCTTTCTACCATCCCTGATTTATGGCTCTGGACTCCATTTGTTGGTAGTATTGGTTTCAATTCAGCAAAAGCTAGCTGTCTCCCGAGGGAAGGTGAGAAGGAGGGACATCTGGGGATCTTAACAACAGGGTCTGTGGCATGTAGTTGAGCACCCTGGGGCCTAATGTCAGGCATTGGTCCCGGGGCTTCAGTGTCTAGTCTAAGAAGGCAGTTTCTAGCCCCCTGAGGGGCCCATGGGCCGGTCTCCTTTGGGGGTCAGGATTACTGGGAATACTAATTAATTCATTAGTGGGGTTGATGGATTATCAAGCTGTCTCCTGGCAGTGGGGCCTGGGGTGGGGGGAACAGATTGCTGCCCATAAATCTGCCTGTTGCCTCCCCCCTCTCTGCTTCAATGGCTCTCACTCGGCCCGTAGGCCGGCAACTGAGCGCTGGTTGCATTTCCCCCACCCAGCAGATGGTTCTAACAGGTTAGCTCAGAGCTTTACAAAAAGCACAGAGAAAGAAGGAAGGCCTGGGGATTGGCCCTCTGGCCCAGGAACCATGTGGGGGGAGGAGAACGAATGTAAACGCTTTGCATGCAGTCCCCGCCCTCTTTCCTCTGCTCACTGCACACACCCTTCCTGCCCCTTCCTGCTCTGAGTTCAATAGCTAACTGTCTGTATAACCTTCCAGGAGTTGTGATGTGGGTGACCCTGAGGAATTATATTGCATCCCTCCCTCTGCAAAAGGCAGCTCTTAAAGAAAATTTGGCGTCTTCCTCAATGCCCTCTCGAAGCTGCACACGTGGGCACACACACATACACACAACTGAATGTGTTTTGAGAGCTAATCCCATTGTGTCTAGTTTCTTACATCTGTCAAAGAGAGCAAGGAGCCCTACAGAATGATCTGTCCCCACCCTCATCTTTGTCTCAATATGTTCACCTTTCTGCTGATCCACTACTCTTCCCTGCCCTCTGAGCATTTCACAGGCGGGGTACTAACATCGCCAGTATCATGAAGTCTCAAATATCCAGGGAGATGGCTTCTAAGACACAAAGCAGGGGATCAATCCATTCTATACATGGTCATTGCAGCTCTCTCCTGAGCACAGATGCCTCCATAGATACACTTCCTCTGGCTGAAGAGGGGATTCTGATACGGTTTTCAGAAATCTACCTTTCCTAGCCTGTGTTACTTAATTACTCTAAAAATGAAGTTTGTTTTGCTGAGCAGGTATTTCCTAAATAGAAATACAAGAAATATTAGTAGGGGCTTAGAGATTTGCTGAAGATGAACCACTTCCTATAAAATGGGGGAAAATGTTAATTTTTCTCTTCTTTCTTTGTTTCTTTGTTTCTTTCTTTCTTTCTTTCTTCTTGATGAAGGACAAGAGTCCTTCACACCTACAAGAGTTTTAAAAAAATGAACTATTTCAAAACTAAGACATATCTTTCACCCTTATTGACAGCAAACCTATCTTTTGCTTAAATTTTTTTTTAATATTTATTTTTGAGAGAGAGAGAGGGTGCACGCTCGTGCATGCAAGTGGGGGAGGGGCAGAGAGAGAGGGAGACACAGAATCCGAAGCAGGCTCCAGGTTCTGAGATGTCATCACAGAACCTGATATGGGGCTTGAACCCACAAACCGTGAGATCATGACCTGAGCCAAAGTCAGACACTTAACCGACTGAGACACCCAGGTGCCCCTGCTTTTTTTTTAATAAAAAAAAATTTTTAATGTTTATTTATTTTTGAGAGAGAGAGAGAGAGAGAGAGAGCACAAGCAAGGGATGGGCAGAGAGGGAAACACAGAATCCGAAGCAGGCTGTAGGCTCTGAGCTGTCAGCACAGAGCCCAACATGGGGCTTGAACCCATGAACTGTGAGATCATAACCTGAACTGAGGTCAGAGGCTTAATTGGCTGAGCCACCCGGGCACTCCAGTAAACCTATCTTTTTTTTTTTTAAATATATTTATTTATTTTTTAATTGATGTCCAAGTTCGTTAGCATGTAGTGCAAAAATGATTTGAGGAGTAGAATCCAGTGATTCATCCCCTACATATAACACCCAGTGCTCATCCCAACAAGTGTCCTCCTTAATGCCCCTTACCCATTTAGCCAACCCCCCATCCACAACCCCTCCAGCAACCCTCAGTTTGTTATCTATATTTAAGAGTCTCTTACGTTTTGTCCCCCTCCCTGTTTTTATATTATTTTTGCTTCCCTTCCCTTGCGTTCATCTGTTCTGTGTCTTAAAGTCCTCATATGAGTGAAGTCATATGATATTTGTCTTTCTCTGACTAATTTCGCTTAGCATAATACTCTCTAGTTCCATCCACGTTGTTGCAATTGGCAAGATTTCATTCTTTTTGATTGCCAAGTAATCCAGTAAACCTATCTTTTGCTTTAACCTTCTGCCCTTTTCTTTGCACACAAGACATTCTTATAGCTCTTCATCTCTATTACATATGTACCATTGGTAGAGCACTGTGATTTCCAAAATCACACATGTAATATGGTAGAGCATATTACATATGTTACATATGAGCAAGTGATTTCCAAAAAACTGAGGGATTTCCTTCAAGGGAATTTCAAAAAGAGGCTGAGCTTGGACCCAGAATTCTATCTTGCTACAATGGGGAACACTTTACTGATCAGGTCCTTTTACAGATGTGATATTGGAAATGAGGTTGAAATACCGAACATCATTCAGCCAATTGCTTCTTCCTTTCTTCCAAGCACCCTTCTTCCCTTACCTCCCCAGAACCATAGACGTTTACAAAATCCTTCACATCTTAAAATGAAGATTCTGCATTTTGACTTGGTAGCTCTCTGTAATAAAGCATATCCATATATTTTCTTTAAATCTTTCTAGGTGTAGTTTTCTTCTTTCTCTTCTAGCCAATTAATCTTACCAGAGAATACCACAGGGATTTTAGCAATTGCAGGACCTTTCTTTTCTTCCAAGTCCATTACTATTCAGATGGACTTTTTCTACCTGAATGCTTAATGATATATTTTGATATATTTTTGAAAAATAATAGTGGATCCCAGTTTGTAATTCAAGGAGCTAAGTGTCCTTACAATGAACTATTTCATTCATTTGCTTTACATTTTTTTTTTTAATTTTTTTTTTCAACGTTTATTTATTTTGGGGACAGAGAGAGACAGAGCATGAACGGGGAAGGGGCAGAGAGAGAGGCAGACACAGAATGGGAAGCAGGCTCCAGGCTCTGAGCCATCAGCCCAGAGCCCGACGCGGGGCTCGAACTCACGGACCGCGAGATCGTGACCTGGCTGAAGTCGGACGCTTAACCGACTGCGCCACCCAGGCGCCCCTTGCTTTACATTTTTATAAATTTCAAGCAAACAGAAAAGTTGAAAGAACAGTACAACAAATATAGATATGGCTCTGTCTATAGTCACTAATGAAAATAAAAAGGTTTTGAATGGAAATAAGTTTACATGTTGAAAAGAAGGGAAAGGAAGGTACTTTTTCCTTCTTCTTTTAAAATTCTGAAGTTTTAAAACTAAAGACACCAATCTACATGTATAAGGTAATAGTCAGTGATGCTGAGTCCTGGGCATGTGTCTTTCTCATTTTTTGACTCTTCAGATGGAGACCACTGTTTTCATTAACCCTTCTTAGCTCTCTGAGACTCCCTCCAATTTTCTCTCACCCAATGTCTTACCTTTTTAACCGCAAAGATTTCCAGTCCTTTTTTTCCTTACCTTTCAACTTCAGCAACTCTCCTCCCATATTCTCCTTCTACTAACCTTTCTCCCCATTGATACAAACGATCAAATAAAACAAAACGAATGAATGGTAAACTGGACCTGGCCAGAGGAGCCCTTTGAAGTAGGTGTGTCTTTCGACTGGGGAAGGGGAGGAGTTAGACCTCCGGCAGCATCACCCCGCCCTGGTCAGCTGGGAAAGCAATTAAAACTGCTGCAACTCGGAGACTCCGGCCAGAGCGCAGGAGCTGCCCAGAGGCTGTGGTCCTGAAAGCTCCACTCCGGGGAACTAGCCACTCAGAGGAGGTACTGAAGAACAGCTAAATCAGCTGCAACGGGAGCATCAGCTTGAAGGCGTCCTGGAGGAGCATACAGAACTCCAAGGAACGAGTAGAACAAGAATCAGTCAGAAAAAACAGATTCAGTGACATATCTAAGAGGCAGGGGCCGGCTTAACATGGATCGCTAAAAGTACTTCCTTCTCCTATGATCTGGATGCTCAGGGAGACTTGGGTTCTCTGAGTCTCCTCCAGGACACAGATCCAGACTTCACACCAGGGACCACCACTGACAGAGGTGAGCCCTTGGATGGGGGTGGTACGGGACTACTAAAGTTTCTGTGGGAAGTTCCCACAGACCTAGAGGAGCAGTTGGGCTGAGGTAAGTCTCTTCTGGGCTAGGAGAAGAGGGAGTAGGACTTGGAAACTTGAACGGAGAAGCAGACAGAGAACATTTGGGGACGGATATTAAAATTTTAACAATTTCACTAATTCCAATAGCACCTGCCACCTGAAGTGAAACTCACACACTCAGTCATTTTTATAAAGTAGAGATTATAAATTATCATCCTCTATGTCTGTCAAACTCACCCTTCCATTTTATTAATGCAGGAGAAGAAAATGTCCAAAAAGTTTAACTTTGTCTGAGGTGGCTCAGGAAGTAGGTTGCAAGAATTGACTCAATCCGCTGCTCTGTTCACGGCATTTTCAGGCTGTGGAGAGAGTGGAAGGGGTAAGAAGGGGAATGGCAATAGACTAAGAAATGAGAGAAGATGTCGGAAAGCTATGGAGCATATTCTTACCGTTTCCCCTATTTGGTGTGCTAGAAATTCTTAGACAGTTGTGATAGAGTGGTGAAAATTTCCTTTTCCTCAGCTCTTCCCACTAAGAAATCAGAAAAGAAAGGTTGTTCTTATATATTTTTGTCTCCTCTGCCTCTTATTCTTCATTTACCACCCCCAAAATGTATCCAGAACATTAGTAATAAATGTAAAATGCTTCCCTTGTTTTTGGACAGAGGGGCCAGAGACGAAATGTTGAAGAAGAAGGGGGAAAACTAAAAGATTGAGTAATTTCTGTTTGCAAAGTTCACCATTTGGGTTTGAGGCTATGAAAACCGAAATATGATATGGCTATGTTGGGTACGGTGTGCCTGTGTGTGTGTGTGTGTGTGTGTGTGCGTGCGCGCGCGCGTGTGTGCACGTGTGTGTACAGGTATTAACCAAGAGAGAAAGTGGTAGAGTCTAAAAAGTTGTATAGGAAGAGCACAAAACAGCCCACTGGCAGTTTCTGCACAGAGCAAGTTGTGAGCACCCCGGTCTGCATTCTGTCTTTTTAGTGTGAAGACTGCCGCTCTGAGCAAGGCATTTAGCCTGTCTGGTGCTTGGATTCCTTAGAAACTGAGCTGAATAGGCTCCTTTCTGTTGTACTGAGGATTCAGTCATAGGCTCAGGAGATGAAGTGAGTACAGTCAGCTTCCAAGAGGAAATACACTGTCTCAGCACCACATGCACAAATGTAAGCACCCTTCATTCACGTGTCCATCAATAGAAACTTCTACACAACAAGTCCTTACCCTTGCTTTTCATAAATCTTCTAAATGAGATATGAAAGACAGAAATACTATTTCCATTTTTCCCTAGGAGTAAAAAAAAAAAAGAAAATAATTTTCTGTGCTCATTTAATAAGCGAGTGATAAAAGAGTGGAGAGGGTCTCAGTGCCAGGCTTCTCTCAGTACACCTCTGAGCGGGTTCATTAACAGGCTCAAAGCCATGGTAGAATTAGATTCTTGTTCTAGAGAAAACTGAGTTGATTTCCTTGATCAGAAATCACAACTGCACCACACACATTTTCGGCTCTCAAGTCTACAACTGGATGTTCATCATCTTTTTTCCCCTGCTAACTTTTTGAGGCATTGGAGACATTTAGGTGGAAAAAGTCAAAAGAGAAGAATTATTACTTCTTTTAATCTTTGAGGAGTCCTGGCTTTTACTTCTATTTGAGAGACATTTCATTTTTCTCCTCAGAGCTCTGGCACTGGATTCTGGTAGGAAAGTCTTATCCCCAGTAGTGTCTAATCAAAGACAAAAGGAAACAAATGTCCAGGGCTAAGAGCTGTGTGTGTTCCGTCAGAAACTTCATGAACCTAAACATTAAAGTAACTGAGTAGGAGTGTCCAGCAAACTGCTGTCTCCCCATAATAATAATAAAAAAAAAAAAAACAATAAAAGCGACTAACCTCCTCCATGAATATGGTAAAAGAGTTTTGGGCATTCTGGTAGAAACAGCTGATAGAACTCTGTTTCTTCACCTCTTGCAATGGAGTAGAAGCTTTGATACTTAGTTATTAGGTTGGAGGAGAGGGTTTGTCAGGGAATTTTTCAAAATGCATGTTGAGATAGAGCCATTGGCTTTTGTTGGCATGAAATCAATAGTAAGCACAGATTGTAAGTATACTTGGTTTTGTCCATGTGTCCAGGAGAAGTCATGATGAACTTTAGGAAGGATAGTACTTAATACTTATATGGCATTATGATGTCTGGCACTATTCAAAGTCTTTAAATATATTAGCTCATTTTATGTTCACAATAATCCTATGAGGTAGGACTATTATTATTCCCATTCTAAAGAGAGGGGACTGAGGCACAGATAGATTCTGAAACCTTAAGATCACATATCTAGTATGTAATAGAGCTGAAGTTTAAACTCAGGTAATGTGACTCCAGAGTCTGCTGTCCAGATAACACTGGGAGAAAAGATGGGCTATTGGGCAATTGTTAGATCATCTTCTGAGCCAATTAGAGGAGGTTCCCTCAAGATAGGAAGAGGCACAGTAGTTAGCAGAATCTACTTTTATGATTCATCTGTGGGAAACAACTTTTATTTTTGAATATGCAAATTGTGTAAATAGATTAGATAAGAAAATTCAGGAATAAACACAAGATAAATATATGGATAATGTTTTATAGCATTTAAAGTTTACAAAATCTTATTTTTATTTGTCTTGCAAGAACCATGTTAAATATACCTTACCTCTATTTTATCAAAGAGGAAATGAAAGACCAGAAAGCTATGTAATGTGTTTGAAATCAGCAACTGGGAATCAGAACAGTTGGGACTAGAGTGTGTGTCATTCCAGCTTTCATGATTTCAAAGCCACCCTATATACCCATGGGATGCTCCTAGAACTTATGAATCTATGAAAAAAGAGAGAGTTAAACTGGAGCCATCTATATCCTTCCCAGGGTTAGTAAGAGAAGAAAGATGAAAAATGGTTGCCCTTTACATTGTTTTAGCCAAAGCCGGTTGGTTCTTTTCCTTCATACCTGCTGATAACCTGACTTGAAAGCAACTCTTTGACTCTTACAGAAACCATTAAATTATGTTAAAGGCAAAGGATAGTCTACTCTATTCTCCTAATCCCACTTCTTGGTGGGGGTGAGGATGGACAGAACTTGGCTAGAGTCCAGAGGTACGGAGGTGAGGATCATAATAATAATGAAAAAGGCCAATTACAGAGGCTTTCAGGGGCAATTCGGGAGACTGCTTTCCTCTCCTCCATCTTCCTTCTCAACTCTCCCTGCATGTAAGTATGACTGAGTGATGATGATGATGAAGAGGAGATGAGAGAAATAGAAGAGAAAAAAGATAAGGAAGCCGAGTAAGAGAAGGTGGGGGGGGGATAAAAGGGTGGAAGCGATAAGAGGAAGGAATCCTGGAATCTGAGAGTTAAACATTGCAAAGAACAGCTAAACTAGCCTCCCTTTGGATGATGTTCATTTCCTGGTGATTTAGTTCAGCTGATCCACACCCCCTGAAGTCAAAGTGCCTTCCTTTCTTCCTGTAGCTGTGGTGGGGGGGGGGGGGGGGAGAGAAATAATCTAAAACCTAGGATTTGGAATCAGAAGAACTGGCTTTATGTCCTGCTCTATCAGCTCTATATCTTTGCATTTCCATCACTTAATCTCTGACCCACAGTGACCTCGACTACAAAACAAGCATAAATCCCCATTTCCCTCAAAGGTTGGCTATAAGGCTACACAAATGTTATTATAATTACGTGTGCAACATTACGTTTCCCAAGTCTACTCCATCCTTTTTGGCCTCAGAGTGCACCTGCCTCAGAAAGGTCTGTGTTACTTTAACAGAAAGTTAATTAGGTCCTTCACCCTCCCTCTGGATATCGGGCTGAGTTAGAAGTGCAGCTCAGCACACAAGCTCCATCATCCATATTAAAAGTGGGATTTTCTAACTTGGCCTGGGCAGCCAGTTGACCAATAGGTTCCAACGTGTGTTTTCAATAAAGCTGCTTACCCAGGAAGCCTTATTAAGTGAGTAAGTCAAGCTGACATGATTTCTGTGCTGATTAACATGAAACCTAGGCTGTTTTTGCAATGCAGTAACATTAATTATTTATAGGAGGTAAATGAGGTTAGAAGGAAAACAAGCTCAAATTACCAGAAACAAATCAGATCATATATTTATATTTTTAAAATCTATGTGCTAAATCCTGCCTCATTGATTTGAGGCTCAAGCTTTAAGGATCGAAAAACGTGTCTCATGCTCTCCCCTTTCTGATACACAAAAGTGATGGAAGGTTTAGTGTTTCAAAGACTAAGTTGGTAAACTGGCATGCCCCAATGCTGCTTCTCAGATACTTTTATTTGGTAAATTATATACCTGCAAATTGCTCAGCAAATCTCAAAACAATTCACCCTTCCAGAATTGAACATAAAATGTTTACTAAGCCACCAGTCTCTTCTGGTTTTCGAAGTGCAATTTTTTTCTCCAAAGAAAATCTGGATTAAACAGTATTTGTTAGGCAAGTGAATTAAAGTAGTCAGGGTATTTCCACGTTTGTCTGAAATAGTCCTCGCTTATGTCTGCAGTCACTATGTTCTGTTAAGTTTAGAGTTTGCCCCAGATTTTTCATTTTTCATTTTTCATTTTAATTTTCATTTATAATAGTTATACTAAGATAATCTTGAATAAGCTTTGTAGACCTCTGGATTGTAAATCTAGATGTTGCCATATTCTTGTCTGATGGTGTGAGATGCCTGTGCAATGCAAGAGTTTTCTTTTCAACATATGGGTGAATTTAAAAAATGGTCAGTGGTAACCCTGCTCTCTTTTCATGATCCTTTTAGACACCATGTCACTGACACCTCTAATACCACTACATTAGACAGACCATAAGGTGCTTGATGAAAACCAAAATGCTCTTCTGGTGATGGTGAGAGAAATAGTCATGGTCACATGGGGGTACCAGCCAGTTGTGGCACTGCTCTTTCCTAGGATGCTTGAAGCTAAGAGTTGGCAGAGTCAGTGGGAAACATGGAATGTTATAGGTTAAGTGTATGTGGCATATCTCTCAATAGAGGCTGGGCAGTCCTCTGAAGAACAAATTAGTCTGAATGATCTCAGCACAGCATTTCATTTATTTTGTGGTGTAAAATACAACAGTGTACTTACTTACTGTTTGATATGCTTTTTAAATTTTGCAATAATTATAATTATATCCATTGTTATAAGTTTTAACTACATTAGCACCTTCTTTTACTTTCAGAAGTTTCTCTGGTTGGATAATAATTTATATGTCCACCTTATCTCTTTCCCTTTTTGATCTGTATTCTGGAAAGAAGGAAAGATATATTTTGACTCTTATACCAGTTATTTTTGCATAAAATCTCTACAAGACAAGGCAGCAGAGAATGAAAAGTATGAGGCAGTGGCACTACCATGAGTAATCAAGTCAATTTCATTTTTCTAAAGTTGACTTTTTTGTACTATGCCATAGCTATATTAGTGTTCTTGGCATTTATTTGAGTCTTAGATTACTTATTTAGAATGGAGGACTTGGACTAGATAATCACAAGTTGAATCCCAATACAATTCTCCGTTTTATATCTAAGATATAAAAAGAAAGTTTAGTTTTAAATCAAAGCAGATATTCACAGACACTAATCATTGCTGTTTCCTATTCCAGAATCTGGAAATGGCAAAACCTTATGTGAAACCCAAGGAGATGACAGAGTTGGTCAACACACCATCCTGGATGGACAAAGCCCTGGGCTCTCAGAATGAGATGAAGGAGGAAGAGAGAAGATCAGCTCCTTATGGGATGCTTGGAAGCTTAGCTGAAGAGCATGACAGTATTGAAGAGGAAGAAGAGGAGGAAGAGGATGGGGAGAAACCTAAGAGAAGGGGTCCCAAGAAAAAGAAGATGACAAAAGCTCGCCTTGAGAGATTCAGGGCTCGAAGAGTCAAGGCCAATGCTAGAGAACGGACCCGGATGCATGGCCTGAATGATGCCCTGGACAACCTGAGGAGAGTCATGCCATGTTACTCTAAGACTCAAAAGCTCTCCAAGATAGAGACTCTTAGACTGGCCAGGAACTATATTTGGGCTCTGTCTGAGGTCCTGGAAACTGGACAGACACCTGAAGGGAAGGGCTTTGTGGAGATGCTCTGCAAAGGGCTCTCTCAGCCTACAAGCAACCTGGTGGCTGGATGCCTCCAGCTGGGCCCTCAGTCTGTCCTCCTGGAGAAGCATGAGGAGAAATCTCCTATTTGTGACTCTGCCATCTCTGTCCATAACTTCAACTATCAGTCTCCTGGGCTCCCTAGCCCTCCTTATGGCCATATGGAAACACATCTCATTAATCTCAAACCCCAAGTATTCAAGAGTTTGGGAGAATCATCCTTTGGGAGCCATCCACCTGACTGCAGTACACCACCTTATGAGGGCCCACTCACTCCACCCTTGAGCATCAGTGGGAACTTCTCCTTGAAGCAAGATGGCTCTCCTGACCTGGATAAATCCTACAGTTTCATGCCACATTACCCTTCTGCAAGTCTAAGCTCAGGGCATGTTCATTCAACTCCCTTTCAGGCTGGTACCCCTCGTTATGATGTTCCCATAGATATGTCCTATGATTCCTACCCTCACCATGGCATTGGGGCCCAACTTAATACAATCTTCACTGATTAGGGCAGTAAGACAAGCATTTCAGAGGATAATGTGGAGATGTTTCCCATAATTCAAGTGGGTTGAGCTGAAGATTCAATGACCTTAAAGGAACCCTATAGATAGATATCAAACACAGTAGTCCCAGTCCATTTAGGCCTTCCTGCACCTGCCACCCTCATTTATCATCAGCTTCTCACACTGTATTGATTCATTTAGTTAGGGTCCTCAAGTGAAATTATTTGATTGTTTACAATCATGTGGAAATACAACAGAAGCCCTCGGCCCTATTCTAATGGTGCCAAAAACTCATGATCTATGCCATTTAATTTTCCATTTCTGGCCTCTGTTTACTGATCAGTAAAATCAGACAACTGATGATGATTTTAAAGTCCTTCACAGTTCTGAAAATTCAATAATTTTGGTGATCACTCCTATACACTTACTGAAACTGAAAGAATTGAAGAATAATAGTAAATGAACACTGTGTGTGGAATGATTAGATGGAGTTGCCAAAGGAGCACAGATGCATTTCTCTCGGGGACCTGATAGGACGTCTATGCATCTATCTAAAAATTGTCTCCAAAGGCTAAAATCCTAACTTGGCTGTCACTGTGAATAACAAAGCATGTCCTTTAAGAGATTAGCTCTACTTCTTGTTGGCTGAGGCTGAACATCTCTTTCTTAGTAATATGAGAACCATAGTAGAGATCTCATAGCAACTTGATTCTTGATTAACATTTCAAAAGCACTTTTCTCAGTTCTAGAGATGGGGCAAGCAAGTCACTGTAAACAGACTCCTATGACCAATGGAACTTAGAGAAGTCATCTGTACCATTTCATAGCCTCTGTAACCAGGAGGCTCTAAAAATTCTGAAGACGCTCAGGGGCTGCTATTGGAATCAGCAAACGACCCAGGTCATATTCAAGAGCAATAAAATGGCAATTGGCTATACTAACTTACCATAGTTTGGTGACTCCCTCTATCTCACATCTGCCCATAGGAAGACCAAATTTTCTTTGGCAAGATACATTTCATTTGGTTACACAAAACATGGTTAAAACCACTGACCTCTGTCCACACCAATTATTCTTATATTTTCTAGAGGGATAAGCACCAATCAATTTATGACCAAACTTGAATTTTTCCAATTCATATACAATTCCTTATCTCCTCCTCCACTAATTGTTACCTCTTCTTCACTTCTAAAATATAATATGTTATTACATATTGTAGATAACATTCCAAGTGAGCAGACTTAAGGATGCAGAAATCAAATCCAAGGTCGGTGAATGCTTTTACCAATTTATGTCTTCATCACAGGTTTATCCTGATTTGCAGGATATTTATTTTTCTTCATGGAACTCCTCTTTTGTTTATATCAGCATTAATTTTGTCACATTTTTTTTCCAGAAAAATGTGATCTGAGAAATTTCAATGTCCTGTTCAATCTGCCAGGACAATTATTTAAAACAAACTAAAAGCCTAAATGGTTTACATGATAGTGGATCACATCCTGCTCTGCCAGAGAGGATAAGTTTAGGATGTAGGGTACACAAATAGGACCAATGAATAAAATTGATAAGGCAGATTAGTATGTCATTTTCTACAGCTCGGCTATCCCCTAAACCCTGCCAAACTATCTGTGGATCTTGACTTTTTTTTTTTACCCTCTTATTTATTATCTCCTTACAGTCTAAGTTATTGTCTTTCCATTTTGCTTGCAGCACTAACCCTGTTGTATTTTGCACCCTTGGTTTGTAGACCGCCTTGAAAGTATCCTTGCAGAGAGATCTTAAATCCCACCAGCTACTGAAGTGGTTCCCTTTTCCTAGCGGGAAAAGGCAAGTTAAGTGTCTACAAGGCCAGCCTATGTGCTTTCTGAGTCTATACTGTCACTTACCTTTGTGAGAGGCTGTGGGGGAATCTATCCTTGAAGCTAGTATTTTCTGGCATTTAAGTTTGTAGATAATGAATGTTGTTGGAGTTATTTATTAGATATTATTTATTTAATTTATTTCTCCTTTCATGCAAATTTCTTGGGCTCCATACATGTGCTTGCAAACCTTCCCTAAGGCTTCCTTTGGAAAGTAGCTCATAATTTTTCTGGAATTCCTGAGTTTGGGGTGAGGGGAAAAGGGGAAGTTAGTGCAGAATTACCTGTAATGATTTTATAAAAAGCAGCAATAATTTGAATGGCTATGCAAGTTAATGTTCTTAGATTTTTTTCCCATCCATTCTAAGAAGAGCGAGTTAGTTTTGGGAAGCTGTTGTTTATGCTTTTGGGGAATATGGTACCCATGAACCAGGCCTCCTTGGGATTGTTCAGAGAGACTTTCTAATTGAATTAAAATTTGGGAGTGCAGTATGATTGGAAAGAACCTACTCTCTTACCCAGGGTGGTCTCATTCTTCAGGGTATTTTATGAAATAAAAGAAAAACAATTGTTCAAACTTTTTGTAAAAAAACAAAACAAAACACAACCCAGACTGTTTCTCCTCCCGTTTTTCTAGCAGAAATAAAGCTGTGAGTTTTATTAGACACTGTGTTGCATTGTCTGTCTTCAAAGTTTTTCTTCACTTTCTTCTATCCCTTTTCTTGGACTCTGTGTCCTGTAAGCAGCCAGCGAAAGCACAGGCCAGCCTGTCAGGAGGATTTACATCCCGTATTTCAACTCCTCCTTTCAGAAGATTTGAAAGGTCTAAACTAAGTAGTTACAAACCTAGAAGCACTGCTCTCTGTCACACACATAATCAACTATGTAATTAGCAGTTGAGGAAAAAAGATCTTCCCATTTACAGAAATCTAGGGTGATGGGCATTCTAAGCCACTGAAGCACGAAGAGGTGGACCATAAGAAGATGTACTATTATCCAAAATTGGGCCCACCAACTTTTCAAAATTTATGAACTATACTTTTTGGCAACTTCTTAACATCTCTTCTCTTGACTTTTTTCTTTTAGGTCCCTTTATTACATGAACAAAAATGCTGATGATAAAGAAATAATGATGATGATGATGTTGATGATAATAATGATAAAACATAGTTGGTTAGTCGAAGGAGAGAGTTGGTTTAAAATATTTAAGAAGCAAAAAATATGGAACGAAAGTCATTCTTCCACAGCTCTCCTCATCTGCCTGGTACCCACTTTCCGACTTGAAACCGCTTTTTATGTTTTACTTTATCAGGTACCAGAGACCTGTTATACTGAGAAGATAATATCAGGTATATTAGATACAAATATTAAGTTACATTATTTTCTCCTTTTCCCATATATAACACAGTTCTGCATATTACTTTTGTTTTTTTGGACACATACCGTGGAGCATTTTCTTATGTCATAAAAATTTCTTAATGGTTTCCTATAGCTGGTTGGCATTCCATGTTAAAATGTAATTAAAACAATTTAGATTTTCCCAATTTTTATGATATTGAGTGAATAATCACGTACACATGTCATTTGACACTTATGAAGAGAATCTTTACAAATAATGTTTTAGAGGAATAATGATAAACTGACAGGTAACAACAATTATATCTAGCCGTTTTTACTATGTACTGTCACTTTTCTAAGTGATTTACGTGTAGTAATTCGTTTAATCTTAAAACCATCACTATAAGGGAGACACTATTGTTATTTTCATTTTACAAACTAGCAAGCTAAGGCATAGAGTAATCTGTTCAAACTCCCACTGCTAGTTAATGGTGGAGCTAGAATTGGAACTAGTTTATTTGGTTATTTGGTTGTTTGCCTGGTAGGTACATAACAATGTCATATCTGCAAGAAGCCAGAGCTGGTGGAACTTTCTGACATCTCTTGAGCTATTCTTTACATATGACATCCTGCTGTATCTATGACTCAGACTGGCCCATCCCCAAACTCTGCCATTGAATCTAAGAAGACTTTCCTGGGGCGCCTGGGTGGTGCAGTCGGTTAAGCGTCCGACTTCAACCAGGTTACGATCTCACGGTCCGTGAGTTCGAGCCCCGCATCGGGCTCTGGGCTGATGGCTCAGAGCCTGGAGCCTGTTTCTGATTCTGTGTCTCCCTCTCTCTCTCTGCCCCTCGCCCGTTCATGCTCTGTCTCTCTCTGTCCCAAAAATAAATAAACGTTGAAAAATAAATAAATAAATAAATAAAAAGAAGACTTTCCTTCCTTTGACAAAGGCTCAACTTTGTATTGTATGTTGCCTATGTAGATTATGTAGATACAGGCTAGCTCACAGACCAATGCTTTATTGCTTGAAAGTGTCCATCTTTCAGAGGGCCTAAATCTATTTCACTGCTATCATTTCATAGACCTTTAGTGCTTTAGGGAAAAAAAAAAGTTTTACCAAGGAATTATAGAAATGAAAATTGCAACAACAGAGGAGCATCCTAGCTTCAAGATTATTTTTTGTCTAGCTATAAAACTTTAAAGTACAGTTTGGCACATTGATTGCAAACATTGGCTTTAGGGGCAAATACATGATAGTTTAGTTATGCAATTTACTGGTTGAATAACATTTGTGAAGTTGATTAATTTCTCAAAACCTCAGTTCCCTCAAATTTAAAATGGCAATGATAGCAATGGCTATGTCACAGGGTTATTATGCAGTCATATGCTCTACCCCTGAACTATATACACCCCTTGGTTTTGTCACAGGGTTCTTATGATGAGTCAGTTGAGATAATACATCCAGAGCACATAGTAAGTATCTAATAAGTGGTAATTACTTACACCCATGTTATCATTCATTATTCTTTGGTAATTTTTATGTTAACTTTTCTCTTTGCCTTCAATATCTGATTGGGGGAGTGTTGATGGTGAGTGTAGCAGGCTTAGGGCACCCATAGAATTCTTAGTTAAGAGGATTGGGTCAGGTAGACTTGGGTTTGAAACTAACCGTCTGAGTAGTCCTATGTAGTTTATTCAACATCTCTACGCTTCAGCTGCCTTCTGTATAAAAAAAGGCAAAACAATTCCACCAAATCCATAAAGTTGATACGAGAATTAAAAGTAATGATAATGCCAGTGAAGGGTTTGCCTCAGGTTCCGGCACAAAGGAAACAATTTACCATTATTATTGTTATTATTATTACCAGGGAGGAGATGGGAACAGATGAGGGAATCGAGAACAAAATGGAGAACAAGGGGACAAAGCAGAGCTTTGAATTTATACAGTAAATCATTGACTGGAGCCAACATCAAAATCCAAGTCTCTGGACCTGTAGTCCATACCTTGGAATATATATATATATATATATTTTAATTTTTTTTTCAAACGTTTATTTATTTTTGGGACAGAGAGAGACCGAGCATGAACGGGGGAGGGGCAGAGAGAGAGAGGGAGACACAGAATCGGAAACAGGCTCCAGGCTCTGAGCCATCAGCCCAGAGCCCGACGCGGGGCTCGAACTCACGGACCGAGAGATCGTGACCTGGCTGAAGTCGGACGCTTAACCGACTGCGCCACCCAGGCGCCCCTTGGAATATATTTTTATTCTAACTCATCACAGGGACAGAATTCCCCAAAGGCAAATTTCCTGAATTTAGCAAATAGGAAACACCATATTTTTCTTTCTTTTCTGGAAATTGGTATAGAATAAAAGGAGACTTGTGGTTGCTTTTTACTGTCATCTGGCTTGAGGCCATGTAGAAAAAGAATGCTATTACATTACAAATACTTAGTACTTTATATTTCATGCTTCATTTCAATTCAATTTTACAAATACTCATTGAGTATTTCCTGTGGGTCAGGCACAAAGCCAAGTGCTTGGAATACAGAAGTAAATATATGACCATGCTTTGTAGGTTGATAGTCTGGGACAGTGTAGAATAATAGAGCATTTTTCACAGTTATCAATATTGGCAACAATGTGAGGGCAATAGTTGAAGTATTATAAATACTGCTTGATAAAGGAGGAAACTGACACTCAAGAGATACTACTGAATAGCTAGGTCAGGTAATCCGCTGGAAGTTAAGTCAGATTATCTGATTACAGTGTTGTTTTGTTTGTTTATTTGTTTCAATAAGTGAAGTCTTGCTTTATTTGGGGTTAAGTAAAATACATATTCTGAAATAAGGTTAATGGATTATTATGACAATTTTGGATAACTTACTTGGTTAAATTAATTAACCCCTCAGAGTCTCAGTTGCTTTGTTAACATTGCTAAAGTTAATCACTATGAATATTAAATAAAGCGAAGGAAACTGTGGCCAAGGCTAGCTGTAGATGCAGTAAGCAGGAAGGTAAGCTGATCATAAAAATTAAAAGAATCCCATCATGGTTGTAATAACACACTTGAAAATAAAATGTTTGACCAATGCCTCCTATGTGTGCAAGTAAATAAACTTACCAGACGTGAGTTGGAGATCATTTTAAAAAATAATAGCTAAAGACTCAAAGAAAGGAAGAGGAAATTGCTGTTCATTGAGCATCCACACCAGGTCACAAAGTCAGTTTACAATATTGAATCAGTCTTCAAAATAAGCCACTAAAGGAAGTTCCAGATAGTGTAGAAACCTGTGTAGAAACGTGGAAGCAAATATGAGGGTGTGGCAAGTCATGGAAACTCTCGGGGCTTCTGTTTTCTCATTAATAAAATGAGATGATTGTGCCAATAGACACTCTTCAGAGTTCCATGAGGGGCCAATGTCCCTATTCACTGACAGATAACCACATTTTGGGAGGGGGGAAATGAGTGAATGCTGATTAAGTCAAAGCTAATAGGTAAAAGGCAAAATGGAAATAGGAAACACATAGTGTTTACAGTGTGTGTAAAATACATTTAAACATGAAAATGAAGGTTGGGGTTCCTCGTGTGGTTTTACAATTACCAGGCAGCTATTTTAAGGAACTGGGGTGATTTCGGTTTGTTATCGATTTAAAGGCCAGTTTCATAACAAGAGATATTGACTGCAACATGTTTGGCCACTGAAAGGCCCATACGCTACATGGAGCTAAAATAAACTTATCAAACATCAAATTAAGAAATTGCGTTATTCCTAGAATCGTGCCCCTTTCCCTCCCTTAAGTGGGAAAGGATAGGAAGGCGTTTGACTCTTATTTACTTGGTTGCAAATACAGCGTGTTCTCCGTTATCCATATGAATAATCCATGCTGTGGATGACTGGTGGAAAATATTTCACATGAATCTTGTTTCTTCATGCCTGCTGATATGTTCTTACATTTTGTTGTGTGTGTGTGTGTATGTGTGTACACACATATGAATGTGTCTACATTTAAAAAACATACATCAAGTTATATATATATGCGTGTGTGTGTTTATGTGTGTGTGTATTTGAAGGTATGTATTGGTATATGTCGAACATACACATCCACACACACACACACACACACACACACATCCATCCATGTACACTTACATATTTGAATGGTCTAAAGTCAAATGGCAACCCTTCTGGATCATTCAATGTTTGCCCAGTCTATATGCTGAGTTCTTTCCTGCATTAACCCGATGGTA